GAAACAAACTGCTCGGATACAAAGGAAACCTAAAACTTGCTCAGGATAGGGAATAGTCCACGGCTGTAAATTCCACATCAGCTTCAACGTAGATGATGGGTTCTGTCTCCATCTGGCTTCATTACAGTTTTAACATCCTAAAGCATCAGTGAGAGAGGAGTTCAATTACTTCTCARATCCTATGCTGGATGCCTTTCATTGGGTGTGATTTATTTTTKATTCCTGCCAGTAAACTCCAGCTTCCATCTCTTACTTGCATTGCAAATGTTTCACACTTGTAACTGAAGCTACCTCATACAGTAGATGTAGAGGTATTTCTAGGAAAAAGGAGCTTATGAAAAGCCCAAAGGATGCCAAGCAGAGACCGAGAGAAGATGAGAGTCCTGGAGAACAGATCAAGAGCTTTTGTTTTGTCCTTCAGTTGGAGCTGATAAGTATTGATAAACATAACCACTGTTTTTTATCTCACTTCCCCGATTAAATTAACTCTTGGTTTGTTTTGGTTTTTTTTTTAACTAGAACCGACCAAAACCATTTCACTGAAATGCAGATTCCCTAGTGGTTGCTTTTCCTCAAAAAGGAAAGAAATGAAACCTTATCCATTATACTAAACTGCCTTGCATTATTATACACAATTGGACTTCAAGGAAGAAACACTGGAATTGCTCATTGATTAATTTCCTGAAGGAGTAATTTCTTGAAGGAGATAATCTTCTGGAGAGTAAGAATGATCAAAGTCTGTTGAGAGTATCTGTTGCACACTTTAAATATTTTATACTTCATCTCCGTGTTTATTCATCTTTGGAATAATGAGCCCCAAGTTTAATGACTGTAATGTATCAGAAATTACTAAGGAGTTCAAATTTGCATTCCCTTGTAAAATTACAATTTTCTGCTTCCCTATCTCATTTGGGTATTTTCACAATASTAATTTTTCTTGTGCTTAAACACTAAATTAATTATGATCACATGCAAGGCATTTGGATACTCTAATGGAAGTTAAATAGTATTAAGTTATTAATTCTAATAAATTTAAAGYAGGAAAATTAATTATTTCTTGTAATGCCCTGTTTGACTGCAGTAGTTTCTAATTTTSAACATTTTTGTGTTCTGTTTGAAATATCTTGCTATATTTAACTTGACCACATATTTTAAATACTTTTACCACATATTTAAAAAACTTTTTAAATAGTGTGCCTTGTATCTCTGCTGACTTGGSAAATGCCTGCTCCACAAGAGTATTWTTTGCCATTTCTCCATGACAGAAAACTACAAGGAATAAGAAATTATATATAGTTGAAATCTAAATAAACTGCTTATTTTTCTACAGTAAAGATGAACAATTTTAAGTTCTGCCAAGGGAGGTCTTTTATTACAGAATCACAAAATGCTGTGGGTTGGAAAAGATCATCAAGTCCTACCATTACTAATTCCTTTTATGTGTTGTTCATTTAACTTTAAAGTTTCAAACTGAAATTATATGCACATGACAATATAAAAACTTTTTGAGGCTGCAGTCTTTTTCCATTATAGAGTCACATTTTGATCACTTTTTTTTTCAGATAGGAAACTGGCCTCAAATTAACTTCAGGCAAAAGATGTTTTTCATTACATTATGGAAAATAACATAAACATCTCAATTAAGGAACGYTACAGAAAAATTTGACACAGAAGAGAAGTTTGGGATTGCCTTAGAGTTTTTTTATATACTGGTAGCATTAAACCTGTCATGACACCACATCAAAATGAGTCCATATCTGATACTATACTATAAAAATTCCAAATTATCTTTCTGGGGAAAAATAAAATTGTGTGACCAATATGCTTTCATTCAGAGCGATACAGTCAAGAACAATATAGGCCACAAACTGATGTCAAAATTCTGGCTTCAGTAAAMCAAGGTTTCATATCCAGAGCTTGCTGAAGTATGGGGAATCTTATTATCAGTGCCTTCTGGGAAACCAAGTCTGAGGATATCAGTAAGAGTTGAAAAAAAAAGAACCCAAGAAAAAACAGTAAACACCAAAAAATTACAGTAATAGAACAAAAGCAAACAAAACAAAACTGAAGAGGAAAATTAAACACYTCTGCCCCACTCCAAGAGAAAACACCAGAGCCCAAACCCTCATTGGTTTACACCATGCAAACYATGCCAAAATCAGTGAATTTCAAAGTAGTCAAGTACCACAAGGAGYGGGTACATAGGAAAGCAGAGAGAGATTCAAGATATTTTTATATTTAAGGGCTTCCTTAGGAGAATCATGGCTCCTGGATTTTACTTCCAGAAGAGACAACTCTGCTCATGTTTTCTTGCAAAGATGATTATGGCCATAAAAAGAGGATTATGGCCATAAATCATCCTGAAAGTGTATGTTCTAAGCGATAACAGGACATTACTAATTCTCTGTTAAAAGGTCCTGTCCAACTGGCAGAAAAAAAAATGCCACTTGTCAATTTCCAGTTAATTTTGCTAGGATTTTTTTAAAAAAAATAAGGTAACAGTAAACCCATGAACTGTATTTGATCAACAAGCTGTCTTTGGAATCAACAAAATCTCATCTTTCCCATTGTTCTGACCATCTCAAAAGATTAGTGTCAGAGAAACTATTTTTGTGTCTTACAAAAAACAAACCCCTTTTCCACCCACAGTAATCTGCATCCAAAAAACCATGGAGTAGAATACAGCTCACTTGCTCATGGACAAATAACAGCTCTGGTATTACTTCCCATCTGGTATTACTTCACATCAAACTGATTTAATTTTCTGAACAAGGCATTCTTCACTCACCCGATTACCTTTTGAAATAAATCAGATCAAATGTTGTCTTTTCTCCCCAAAAAAAATAAAAGATAAATGTACTGAATGTTAGAGAATTGGAAGTGGAACAATATGACCATTTGGGGGGGAAAAAAAAACCAATGAGTCTTGCTAATACTTGCATTATGAAGGTTTTCTGAGTTTTTAATCATTATTTCACAACACAGTGACAAGGTATGAAATCAGTGAGATATTTCACTTAAAAACTAAAATTCTACAAAACCCAAATAAGCTACATACTTTCTTCTTAAAGTCAAAAACACTGATAAACTTAGTGAGACTGACACTTGAAAACTGAGGTGGAAATATCATCTAGGATTATGTTACGTCCGCATATGCCAGTTAATTTCATAAAAGCTGTRCAAATTTATTCCAGATGTCCACAAAAAACAGAGTGGGTGAATTCCATTCTCTTTACACTCCAGTTACAGAGCAGCACAATTTTTTGCTTGCTTTGAATCAAATAACTGGTAGCTCTAAATCACCATCTTCTATTGTGAACAAAAAAAAGAAATGGGTTACATTTCTCTAAAAAAAACCAAATCCAAAATCAAAACTTAACATACGCAGTGTTACAATGCAGTCTCCTGTAAATGTTCTGAAAGACCTTCAAGGGCAGCAGTGCAAAGGCTGAGGAAACCCTGGAGTAAACAACAAATGGGAGCAGAACTGGAGAGGACACTTAAGCACAAAGCCTAAATTAATTGAGAGAYATTTTTGGACCAAGAGTCTTCCTAAAGACTTTCCTTAGATAGGAATTCTCCGTCTTTTTCTTCTGCTCCAGAAGCTGCTAATGCTGTTGTTTCTACAGTTACCACCATCTTCTTCCCATTTTCTTCATTTGAATTCTTTTTCTGCATAGCTGCACTGACACCTACTCACCAAATATTCTCTTAAGCCAGACAATGAAACATTGAAAGATGAAGGAGGTTTCTTTTCTTCTTTCAAAGACCAGAAATGAACAGACATTGTTCAGTGCACTGAAAAAACTCATGGCTTCAGCTTGGTCTCTAAAACAAGTATAGTCACCACAGCAAGTGATCCTCCCTCTCAAAAAGTGTAATATAAAGCCAAGGTGTCTGGCAAGGCTGTTCAGTGAAATGGTAATACATGCTTTGGGCAGGAATTCAGTTTGAGAACACACGGAATAAAAGCAAGTTTAAAGCCTGGCAGCCAGGAGAACAAGACTCCACTTTCCGCTACCAACACTTGCTCCTTGTGTGGCAACACTTAGCAAAAGGAAATTGCAGACACAACAGCAAGGAATACTCTTACAGAAATCTGAGTCCTGGCATCTGAAATATATTTTTCCTATTAAGAAAGATAAAATTTTAATATTAAGAATTTTTCACATTGATTTTTATTAAGATAATATAAAAACCTTTCTTAAAATAAAGAAATATCGATCATATGAGAACCTTATCCAGAACAGACCACAATAGAAYTTTATTCCATTATATCCTCAGTTTGAGCAAATAATTGCAGATTACTCCATTTACTCTGAGTTATGCTGATGGCTGCATATCCCTCCTCCTTTTAGCAAACTATTTTCTGTGCTGGCATTTAGGTAAGTATTTTATAACTTTTAGGTTCTAAGGTATTTAGGTGAGATGCATTTCCTGTCAACTGATGTCATTAGACAAATTAAAGCATTATTTATATATATACTTATCCCGTTGCAATTGGAATAAGAAAAGTAAAAATGAGCATTTAATAAATGAAAGTAAGAAAAAAGCTTCTGGTTTTACTGTGCAAAAATTCCATTATTATTCTACCATATTTCCTGAGCATTTGACATTTCAATATATCCAGCAGATACAATTGKTAATCATTGCCTTTGCTACTGTTCAAAAGAAGTGTGTGCAATTATTTTTAATTTTTATAGTACTGTAAGCATGCAGCTTAATGTTAAATTCCTTTGCACTCAAAATTTCCATCCATTAAAGAAACAGCATCAAGCAGAAGAGGAACACCAGTTTGCTTTCTAGTGAAACATAATTCAAAACAAGAATCAATTGGCCATTATAAAAGAACATTTTCACCTGCAAAACAGACATTTACTACATTTTTCTTCATTATTTCATGTGGCAAATCTATGTATCTGAAGTTTTCAAATTAAAAACAAGACAGAATGTGCTGCATTCTAAGAGTATGAGGAGAAAATAACTTTATATTTTCTTACCTTTGCATTATAGGGAATATAATGCTTTGATAAGGCTTCAGGAGTGTGCATCCATGTTTTGTCTATAGAAAAGCAAAATAAAAGAAGCACTGAATAGGTGATTCAATTGTTAACTATGATAATATCTCTGTGGAAAAGATCAACGATCCTCCTCTCACTCAAAAAACTCTCTGAAATAGTTACTGGGGCTGGAAAGAAATATCTCACACCTTCCCAAATATTTAGATGAAAGAACCTGCTCACTTCTCTTGGACACACTTCCTATTTTAACCCACTTGATTTTCCATAAGAATCACAACTCCTCCCTCCAAATGCATTAATTGGTCTAAAGTTGTTTGCTCTTTCTCCCTCAGATCAGTATTTTCTGCATCCTTGTGCTTGTAATGCTGGTTTTTTTGTTTTTTTTTTATAAATTATGTGCTTTTTTTGAAGAATTATCAAAACATTAAAGGAACAAACAAAAAATTATCCAAGCTGTAATGACAGAAGAAAGCTCTAATCCTTATAAAAGAAAAAGGATGTGCACCAGATTCACTGATTATAAGTTCAGATGTTCTTAATTTTTTTCATACATATGCTAAACAAATTTACATATTTTCCTTGAATTTTCACATTACCAGACTTTGCTATTCTCTTACTTTTCCTGCTGCATGTTGACAATTCCCTAATTATTTGTCAAATACATCTTCCCCTTTTATTTCAATGGCCTTTTTGAATGTTCTACACAACTTAAAGGTGGAATTCCAAATGTTAAGAAAAAACTGCTTTTTRCTACAATCTTAGAAACAAATTTTGAAGGTTTTCTCATTTGAGAGCATTTAAGAGAACAAAAGTGTTCCAAAATATTAAATTGCATTACCACACATTTGTGAGATTCTGTAACTCCAATTAGTATTTTATATGACATATATTGAACATTTAGTAGTACTTTCTAACATGAGATTATCCAGTTTTAAATTAGCTTGAATTAAAATCACAAATCTGGAACTTTACTGAATAACAAAATAACAGCTTAAAGCAAAATTCTACCCTTGGTTATTCACAATTCCCTTTGCCTTTATGAGGAGATGCAGTTAATTACTAACTTTTTGTAAGTTACACATACGAACAATTAAATCCTGTTCAAACTGATGAAGAGGAAAACCTGTGACRCTGATTGACACTAAAGCAATAATTAAATATTTTAGAATAAGCAGAAGCAAGAAAACCATTAAACAGGATATTCAGGAGCTACCACTGTAACAGGATCAGAACCGCAAAGCTGGGAGAATTTTTTTTTTTTCTCTAAGCAAATTTCATTCTATATAGCAGTAATGTTCAGCTCCATTACTGAAGAGTGATATTATCACTTCTTAATTAAGGAAGAATGATTTKTCCATTCAGCAGCACCCAGGGGTATGATTAAAGTGGCTCTTCCTTTCAGTCGTGGCTGGTGATTGGACTGCTGGAACCAAGAACCGGAATATTTTAAMACCTGAAACCTGATCTCTAACATCATATCAAAGGATGATTCCATCCAAAAGAACAAAATAACCATCCCTGYGAATTTGTGGACTGTTAGGACAAAGGCTGCCAGCCCAGGCCAGCCAAGCAGCTCACCAGGCTGGCTGGCAGGGCCAGGCATGGGCACAGCACTGCTCACTGCCCCAGCCTGCTCAGGAAACACTGCACAGGGCCAATATCAGCCCCTCCAGGGGCACTCACATTGCTGATACCAGGGGTTAATTTACCTAATTCCTGCACATCACTGTTTACCAGCTTCAGTAGGGAYACTGCTATATTTACACATTTATAAAGGAAAATCTAGTAAAAACAGGGTGCTGAACCTCTAGTTCCTCCACTCATTTTATGCCTGGTGCCAGCACAAACAAGTGACAGAGCTAGAGGCTCTAAAGCAATTTTACAAGCAGACAATTGACTGGACAGGTACCATCAAACCCAACTACTCCTTGCAAATGTTTCTTCCTCCCTTCTACCCATCAGGGCAAATTCAAATCTGAAAAAAATGTCATTTAGTTTGGGAGTCAGGTATCAAATGCTGGTCTTAATTCAGCATTAGGTAATCTTTCYAATATTATTATCATGTATAAAGATTTACTGTGAAATCAAGTTGCCTATCAGCCTCCAACAGTGCTGTTACAGATATTCCAGCAAGGAATAGCACTGCTAGGCAAGGGYTGCCATAACTATTGGTACCCATAAYTGGGAGGAAGAGCAGGAAATATGGACAGGTGCTCTGAGCTCAAAATGAAATCAGTAACTTAGCAGMGGACCAAAAAACACCTGGTTCTAGGAGCCTTGTGCCATTGATTAAAACAGCCCAACATATTCAGATGTGGATCCACAAATACTGTGACACAGCTATTGAAACTTTCCACTGACACTGAAAGTCCACTCCTTAGAGGTAAGTAATAATTACTTTGGAAAGGACTCTTAATGATAAACTAAATCAATGAAAAGCAAAACTCAGGCTGATGGCAAATATGTGAAAAAAATCATGCAAGCTATCCTGAGGTAGTTAGCAACATCTCCAGAATTGTAAGCTCTGATTCTGGACTTGCACCACACCAGCAAGTACTGTTGCAAATACTGCCTAGAATTTGATTTCACAGCAGTTCAGAAAGACCAAATTTCAGACATTCTGCATCCAATAAACTAGAAAAATATTAAAAAAAAAAAACCAACAAAAAAAAACATTTAAAACAAGTATTGGTCAAATATCTGATGTAGATACGGCTTGTGGTTTGATGCCTCACCTAAATTAATTTTTAAACAGCTTAAAGCTTAATTATTCATTCTGAAGCAACAAGCAAAATATGAAATCCTACAACGAAAATCACAGCTCATATAATTATTTTATTAGTGACACAGCAACAAGAGTTCTAGACACTTCACAGCTAAATAAAACAGTAGGTCCTAAAGAAAGGGCCAAAAGCCCAGATAAAACCAAACCCGACAACCACATGCCTCTAATGTTAACAGTAATKGAAAGTGAAAAGAGACTCATGCTACCACATGGGGTGAAAACCACAGTTATTTTAGATCTTGTCTGAAGTTCTTAGTCTAAGTTGTCTYGGAGTTAACATTAAAGTTTAAATAAGTGTCCAGTTGTTTTTTGAGAACTACGAGGTTTTGAAAAGTATGAGTTTGAGGCATTCGGAGACCAGTAAAATGTCCTATGCTTAAATGAGGTACAGGAAATCTAAGAAGTCTGAGTTTGTGGTGGTTTTGCCAAACACACTGGCACTGTGGGGAACAAGAGGTGGGGAAAAGGGGCACCATTCCAATTTTCAAAGGCATTTCAAAGGGTAAAGCACAGMCCTGCTTCACCAGGAGGGGCAATCCTGTGGGGCCTCTCCACAACACCTCAGCCTGTACATGGAGTGCTCACTATGTGGCACAGTAACAGGGTGCAGCAGCAGTGCAGAAGCATACCCTACCCAGTTTTTAAGGGAATTTGACTTGGGTGAGAGCTTGTCAGGTTTTGTTCCCTGCCAGCACACACCAGTCTGCTATGGGGAAACTGCATCAAATCAACACTGCAAGAGTCAAGGGTCTGACAGACTGAATTGCAAGGGTGGAGGCAGGAGCTGGGCACTTCCATGRGCAGAGGATTAATGCTGTTCAGAACTGAGACTTGCCTCCTTTCCAACCYCCTGAATCAGGCCAGCCCCTTCCCATTCCAAAGGGGAGATTCCTTCACAATCTGTGTGTGTGAGCCATTCCCAAGGTCTCTGCAATGCCAGGACAGCCAGGGAAGAGCGACATGCTGACAAATCACACGCTGAGTCCATGGACTTGGGGACTCCATCAACTGTGCTGTACTTCGGGCAGGATGACATTGGGTTAGATAACAGCACAGCTCACCATTTATCTACCAAAAAGGAAAGCCACAGMAGTGCCAAGAAATGGTTCTCCCTTTGAGATTAATTTCCCTGCATATTGCTGCCCAAAGAGATYGTAGAATGGAATATCCACAGTGCAGCTTTAGTTAACTGCCTCCTTAAACCCCACTGTCATTATTAATTCATTAACATTAAGTAGCATTAATTAATTAATGTTTCTAAGGTGCTTATCAAAGCATATGAGACCTAGTGGCAATTCATTTAGTATGATGAACAAAGAAGGACTCTGATTTGAACTTTTTTAGTGACACAGTGAAAATACAGTAATTTCTAAAAGACAGCAACTAAAGCCTTTATTCTTTACTGGATCAAAATCTTKTCACATCAACGGATGTTTTTATTGCTAACAGAGGAAATCTTGGAACTCTCTTTTCTTCCTGTTTTACAAAACTTGATATGAAAAAGATATTTTATGTGACAACCAACCTAATAAGGGCCTCCTGAAGAAGAGATGATCCCAGGAGATTTGTGCTACATCRAGATATTACTGCTTTGGGAACAAACAGCTTACCTGCTTCAGTGGGTGTACATAAGTACCTCCCTCTTTCATTATTCCTAGACTTTCTATTTYTCTGTAAAGAAAGAAAACCTTCACAACGGGACATGCAAGAACTGTCACCCTGTTAAACAATTTCCTTTTTCCCGCACTGCAGCAGAARCAGGCAGGTTCTCACAAAGCCTCCCTTATGCTCTCAGACAGCAAGGTACACTCTGTCCTCTTGACCACTGCAGGCAGCACACAAACTGATAGGTGAGGCCTGAGACTTAGTGCTTGGTWCCAGAGTTTTCATCAGAAAATCCCTAAAGACTATTATCAAATAAATATACCCATATTATTGCTCGCTCAGCTGCAGCATTTGTTACAGCCACCCTCTTAGAGGAATGACTGAGTAAAGTCTGGGTGTCTAACAGCAGTAATTAGTTAAATTTATTAACAGGTTACTATGACTTAGCAATTGAAATTATGAGTCAGAGCCTTCCTTAGAAACATCTAGAGAAAAATGCCTATCAATATACATAGCYCAAAAATAGCTACTTTTGTTATTTCTTTTTTTTTTTTCCCCTAGACATAAGATGTTCTTTGGATGCATATTTATTCTTTGCCAAGAAAAGAGCTGTATCTCCYTAGAACAGAGTGAGCTTGGCAGAATGCTTTG